CGTACCATTTACGTCAAGAAAAAGGACCATTTACGGCCAAAAGGACAAATGTATCCGCCTTGGAAGAAGTACGGCCAGAATGCTCCTTAGAAGCAAGGATGGTGAGACTTCCTCTCAAGGACATCGGACATGGTATCAGGAAGACTAGTCCCCCTGGGAAAGGATATTATACCTGGTACAGGAGAGGCCAGTGAAGAAGGGGAAGTCCTTCCTGAGCAAGTTGGATGGACACAAGGGCTGCAACAATGGGCTGGAGCGTAAGAACCAGGATGAGGATTGGACAGTGTTTCCTCTGCTGTGCAAAGGATTGCTGTGCGTGGTAACTGAGTCCACAGCACCTCATTACACCAACATGTATAAAGCTGCAGCACCTCCCCCAGCACGCCCTTCTCTTCCATCTCAGGGCTAGGAGGCTGGGCCAGGTGGCCCCTGACAAGCCACTCCCCCTCGGATACGCCCTCCCCATTGGTTGATCTCCTGATTGATTTTTGTTAGTTCTGTCCTTCTAATCTCATCCTTTCAGTGGGAGGAATCTCACTGTCAGACTTCCATGGCCCTGAGATAAGGTTTCAGGCGGGAACCCAAGACGGCTGCTCTCATGAATTCTGTCAGTAGAATGGGGGTAGCAGTGGCCTCACCCTGATCCCGCTGACTCAAAACAGCACCAGAGCCAGGGCAGAATCAGAGCCTGCATGGCTATTGGGGATCTCAGAGATAATCATCCAACCCACATGTCTTGCAAAAGCAAGGTAATAGAAATGGGGGCACCCAAAAGGAGGGTGACCTATTTGGGGCCCCACAGAGTTAGTGGCAGGCTTGCTGGGACCTGAGCTGTCCGCCCTGCACCGCACTGCATGACGGTTCTCTCTCGGTCCTTTCTGGCTGTTGTGGAAGGCCACCTTCTCCCCATTCTGCTTCTTTCTCTCTCTGCCGGGTCCCCGCCCCTCTTCCCGGCTCCTCTTTCATCGTTGCCTCTGCCTGTCTTTGCCTCCTTCTCCCCACCTTGTCTCCTGTCTCTCGACATCACAGCTTTCTCTTTGCGTTTCTCCCTAGAGGACAGCGACACCTCCTCAGATGACAGCTCGGACAGCTCGGACAGCTCGCCGTCCAGCCACCAGGTATGGGCCCTTCACAGGCAATCTGGAGAGAGTTCTGGGGGTCCCCTGCGCTAGAGCCTGCAAACTGAGCCCACCCCCACCCCCACCCCAGTTAAGGAGATGAGCCAAGGGCAGACGGCTTTCATGAGTCACTATGGCATCCATAGAGGAGCCCTGGTGGCATGGTGGTTATGTGTTGGGTTTCGATCAGCAAGGTTGACTGTTCAAAACCACCAGCCACTCCAAGAAAAAAAGATGAGATGGGGTTTTCTACTTCCACAAAGAGTTGCAATCTTGGGAACCCGCAGGAGCAGTTCTGCCCTCTCCTCGAGGGTCGCTGGGAGTCAGCATGGCCTCAATGGCAGTGGGTTTGGTTTGCAGCTTTTTAATGGCATCTTTAGGTGAAGGTGGTCAGGTCCGCAGCCCACATCACCATGAACCATCTAATCAAAGTGAATCTGCATGGGTGCTATCCAAATTAAACGGACGAAGTGATAGTACGCATGTACAACCAATTACCTCATGAGATTTGGTTCCTTGATTTGGAGCTTTGGGGTCACGATTTCGCGGGACATCCCAGTTACTTTATGGGACACCATGTGAAGCACTACTGTTCTGCTGCCTCGTTCAGAGGGGAGGCTCTGGGGCCTTCACCGTTTACCCACAGCCATCTAAGGCACAGCAATGGGTCTGTGTGTCTCTGCTTCTTTCCCCAGGCCCCCAGGGATGTGAATTACGCACAAGTGGTTTTCCCAGCCTCCAGAGGACTGAAAAGTGAATCGGCCCTGGGCTATGAGGATGTCAAGGAAGCCACAGATTATGTCAATGTCAACCCCCAAGGCCACAAGGGCAACATCTGGACTTTTGTGAACCATGCTGCCTCTGAATCTGTGGAATACACTCAAGTGGCCGTGTGAACGCTGAGTCTTTCAGCGGGGTCCTGTTCTCTTTGAATGTTGGCACTTGGTGTCGAGGGGAGGGTACTGATCTGTTTGAACAAAGGGGAAATAGGCCTGTCGTCCACATTGAATGTTAGCAAGAACTTTCTGGTAAGGAAAACATTGAAGCACTTTAGTAGAGAAGGTGAGGTGAGAGAGAGAGAGAGAGAGAGAGAGAGAGAGAGAGAGAGAAAGAAAAGTTAAGAGTAGAGTTCTGCTTAGCAAAGCTTATGGTTAAATGATGTTTGAGCGCTTTAATTTTTGACAGCAAATAACTTCCCTAAAAGTTGTAAATAAAACGGCGACCACCAGTTCCTCTTCTGCTGTGTCTTTCTGGGGAATCCTGCTCCGCCCTGTGAACTTGGCACTGGCAATTCAGACAGCCCTCCATCCATCAGTCCTGGAGCGTGCTGTTTCCAGAGAGCCGATGAGGACAAAGAGAGTCCTGGCAAACACCAACCAGCATCGCCATCTGTCATCCCGAGAACAATCGACCCAAATGCAATCCAACAAAGCTCAATATCATTACAGGTTTCTTAACCGGTGAGGACTAACAGGACGCTTTCTTTTTTTTTTTTTTTTAACATTTTATTAGGGGCTCATACAACTGTTATCCCAATCCATACACACATCAATTGTGTAAAGCGCATTTGTACATCGTTTCTCAAAACATTTTCTCTCCATTTAAACCCCCGACATTAGGTCCTCATTTTTCCCCTCCCTCCCCGCACCCCCCTCCCGCATGAGCCCTTGATAGTTTATAAATGGGTATTTTGTCATATCTTGCCCTGTCCGACGTCTCCCTTCATCCACTTTTCGGTTGTCTGTCCCCCAGGGAGGAGGTCACACACAGTTCCATGTAATCGGTTTCCTCTTCCCTACCCATTCTCCCTTTACCCTCCCTGTTTTGCTACTCACACCACTGGTCCTGTAGGGCTCATCCGCAGGACGCTTTCTTAACTGGATTAAGAATTGCTATCTCAAATCAGCAGATAGCACAATATTTAACCCGAGACACTCCCCCTGCCCTCCACTTGAGTCTGACTCCTAGCCACCTTTACAGGGTGAAGTAGAGCAGCCCCACTGGTTTCCAAGGCAGTCAATCTGTAAAGAAGCAGGCTGTCACCGCTTTCTCCCACAGAGTGGCTGGTGGGCTCGAACCAATAGCCTTGGGTTAGCAGACAAGCACTTCAACCACACAAAAAATGTTTAAATAAACTATAGGAAAGGTGCCAACAAGTTGCACTCCACTCCTAAGCTAAAGGTTAGGGGTTTGGCGCCAGCCAGTGGTGCTCTGGGAGAAGAGACCTGGGCCTCTGCCTTAGGGAAAGTCACGGGCAAGAACAGACTCCAGATAGCTCTACTCTGTCACACAGGGGTCACTGCACATCAAAAGTGAGCAGCCAGCAACTCCAGCAACATACCTCTCAGACAGGATAAAATCAGGCATTGTTTGTAAATATAATCCTACCCCAAGAAAAAGAGCCCTGGGGGCAGAGTGGTTCTCTGTTGGGCTGCTAATAGCAAGGTCAGCAATGCAAAACCAACTGCCACTCCACAGGAGAAAGATGATGCTTTCTACTCCCCGAAAGATTGACAGTCTTGGAAAGCCACAGAGGCAGTTCTGCCCTGTCCGCTGGAGTCTCTGGGAGACAGAATTGTCAAGATCAGCAAGTTTGGTTGGGGTTCACTTGAAAAGGTGTGAAATGATATAAATAATAGTATGCAGTAGCCAAGGATGAGGTTAATATTGTTCCAACACTACTTGAGAGATGTAATGGGAAAACAACAAACATACAAAATTGAAACACCAAGAATGCTCTTAACCAAATGCAGACGCCAGAGCAGTGGTGCCTGGGACCTTTGGAGCAGGAATATGCGCCTTGACTGGTTATGGAGGACCACCCTTGCCCCGTGGCTGCCAGGGTCCATTTTCCTGTGGCCCCTTCCTCAACGTGAACGGAAGCCGTGGCTCCAGTTTGCATTCCTGGGAATGGAATGTGCTCTGCACTGCCCCGTTCACCTTTTAGCCATCTTGTTGCTCCTCAGGAGTCTCTGGGCAGCACAAATGGTTAAGGGCTCAGCTACTGACACCAACCCAAAGGGTGAGGGTTCAAATCCACCTGGGAATGTCTTGGAAGAAAGGCTGGGGATGGACTGGTGCAAATCCAGCTCGAGACCCCGACAATCCTGCTGTGACACACCTGGGCGTGCTGAGTTAGGCTTGAGGGGGCACTCACTGGTTTCTGGTGACTCGTTCTTCTCTTTGGGACGTGGTTTCTAATAGGGAACGAAGGTTCTACTGCTTAGAGAGAAAAAATGAAGGAAACTAAGAACAACGCTGTGCTTGCATCCAGTGGCGAAACTCTACTTCTTATGATCTCTTTGTAAAAAGAGGCTTAAGCAGCTTACAGGGTACCCAAAGGTGACCACACAGGGACATGGCTGGGACTGCTCCTACCCCAGGAGAGGGGACACGTAGGGAGTCACTCACACTAACAGAGCAGGACTGTGGACTGGGCTCTGGGTCTGAGGAGTGATAGAAAGAATCTTTGTAAGTCAACAATTTCTTGCACACGTCAATGACACTTGTCCCAAACCTCCAGTTGAAGGGAGGGACACATACAAAGAAGGCTTGAGCACTGAGGTTGGCAGGGCCCAGGTGTGTATGATCGAGTTGTGGGAACTGAAGAAGATGTGCAGCACAACCTAAGAGAAAGGGGAATTTACAAAAAGCCCTGGTAGTGTAGTGCGTTAAGCATTGAGCTGCCGACTGCAAAGTCAGCAGTTCAAAACCACCAGCCACTTGGTGAAAGAAATTTGAGGTTTTCTGCTTCTGTAAAGAGTTAGTCTCAGAAACCCACCAGGGCAGTTCGACCCTGTCCTAGAGGGTTGTTGCGAATCAGAATGGACTCCGCGGCAGTGGGTTTTGTGTGTTAGACGTCAGAGCCCATCATTGGCAGGCTGGTCTGCGTCAAAGAATGCTGGGATCTGATGGGTTTGATCAGAGAACGCATCCCAGATCAAGATGATTCCCAGTGACCTTGTGGGAAGGTGTCAAAAGTCCAACAATGGACAGGGAGGCAGTAGAGGGAGGCCTTTGGCCTGAATGGAAGTGCAAGGGGAAATGCCTTTGACGACTCAGGGTTGGTGGTAACAGTCAGCGGGTGGGAGCTGAGCTCAAGGCGAGCAGAGACTGACGGCCACTGTAGGATGCCACAAGCCCCCAAGAAAGGCTGATCACAAACTCTGCTCAGATTGACTTCCCAAGTATGACATTTTCTAACAAGTTACACAGTCAAACAAGTATATTCCTGAGGCCCACGTGATTAGCACCGGCCTGGTGTGCTGCTGAAGGGTAGAATGACCGTGTGATGCCCCCAAGTGACTCACAGATTTGACAGCAGATGACTTCTCAGCTGTCCTGACAAGGAGACAGAAGGGCTGGTTTTACCACTTGAGGTGTTTGGACCAATAAACGGATCATTGGAGCCTGCTAACCATTTTAACTGAGCTTCTAAGTCATGCTGCTAGAAATAAAATGAGCTTTTGATTTGTGTGATACTCCTTTGAGCTTAGAGGGTCAGATGCTTCACACAGTCCAAAGAGTCTCCTGCATGAGCCATCACCCTTTGAGGAAGAGGGGCTCTGTTCAGTGAAGTCACATTCCCCCTGTGCTAGCTGCATAATCCGGTGTCAACTTGAGACTATTAAGAGTGTAGGGGTGGGGTTCAGCCTATCAATCAGGTTGCAGCTTGATGACCTCATTTGGAGGCCCAACGGAGATAAATAGCTCACCGGAGGCCAGATACACACTCATTCCCTGCGAGACATTCCTGCTGACAAGACACATGGAGCTTGCTAGATCCCTGGATCTGGAGGAACCACATGGAGACTCCTGCCAGTATTGAGATTCTTCCACCGAAACTGGATCCAAGACTTTCCATCCACTGGCCTGTGATCTTCCTGTTTTTGGCATCATTGCCTGTGTTGCGTGAGTCTGAAGTGGAACTTACAAACTGGTATCTGACATATGGGCTAATATCAGACTTATGGACTTAATCTGGGCTGGGATTTTTAAAAAATCATTTTATTGGGTGGTTGTACAGATCTTATCACAATCCATACACAATACATTGTGTCCAGCACATTTGTACATATGTTCCCATTATCAATTTCAAAACATTTTCTTTCTACTTGAGCCCTTTGTATCAGCTCCTCATTTCCCCCCTCCCTCTCTTATTCTCCCTCCCTCATGAATCCTTGATAATTTATAAATTATTATCATTTTTCATGTCTTACACCGACTTTCACCCACTTTTCTGTTGTCTGTCCCTCGGGGAGGGAGTTATATGTTGATCATTGTGATCAGTTCCCCTTTTCTCCCCACACCTTCCCCTTCCCCTCCTGGTATTGCTACTCTCATTATAATCCTGAGGGGTTTATCTATCCTGGATTCTCTGTTTCCAGCTCTTATCTGTACCTGTGCACATGCTCTGGTCTAAGGTAGAATTGGGGTCATGAGAGTTATGGGGAGGAAGTATTCAAGAACTAGAGGAAAGTTGTGTGTTTCATCAGTACTACACTGCACCCTGACTGGCTCGTCTCTTCCTTGTGACCCTTCTGTAAGGGGATATCCAATTGCCTACAGATGGGCTTTGGGTCTCCACTCTGCCCTCTCCCTCATTTACATTGATATAGTGCCGGGTCTTAAAGGCTTGAAGATAAACAAGTGGCCATCTAGCTGAGAAGCAACAAAGCCCACACAGAACAAGCATACCAGCCTGTGTGATCATGAAGTGTTGATGGGATCAGGTATCCAGCATCAAAGATCCAGAACAAAAAATCATATCAATGGGATGTTTTCTTAATATACAATGATTCTCTTATATAAAGCTCTTTCTTATACACAGGAGCATCTATGAATTTGTTTCTCTAGTCTACCCGGACTAACACCCCCCACATAGTGTACAGCATTGGTAGCGTTCATGGTATGTATGTGTCAACCATGGACTAGGACGATACAACAGATCTGTGAGTGGTCTTCAATGAACTTATATTCTAAAAGCGCAAGCATCCGACTCTCCACAGTGGGACTGCAGCAAATTCCATGAAGGACCATGTCTTATTGGCCAGTCAGAGCCACCTGGGGTGAGAGGTGTCTCATGCTCAACACCAGAGGGTTTGCTTGCTCTTGGGACCAGGACAGACTGCTGAGTTCAGAAGGGCTCTCCAGAGGCCGGAGTGCCAGCCTCCAAAACAGACACAGGGGCAACTCCAGCTCACCTGGGTTTTGGAGACCCCTCGACTAGCTCTGACACGCCCCCATGTGGCTTCGTACCTCACACAGGAACTTCAATACTGAGGCTGTGCCTCTGCAGGAGAAACCTCTGCGGGGCTGCTCTTGCAATCTACATGTCCCCCGGGCTCAGAGAGGAAACCGTGTGTCGGGTATCTCAGGAGAACTGGATCCAGCGAGGCTCTGAGACTCTGTAGAACTTCAGGGGAAACTAAAGCCAGTGGCTGACACTCATGCCCCGCCCTGAGCGTCCTAGAACACCTGTAATCTAGGGTGTTTACATAGCTGTTGACCTTCTGGAAGCTGACCAGGCTTTCCTTCAGGTTCAAACACCCATAGTCGATCCGGACAGGTCCGTGGCCCATTGGAGCTCCTCAGGAGAAAGGGTCGTCTGAGTGAATGCTGAGAGGCAGAGTGAGTTTCCCAGCCTGCCCCTGTGGGCCATCACCACTTCAGAGCCTCCAGGAGAGGGAAGTTAAAGGGTCGGGAAGGAAGCGTGCCCACACCCCCGCCAGGCTCAGATCTGGGGCACTTTCAGCTCCTCACTGCCACCTTAGGACCTCAGAGCAAACTCCAGGACATTCTTCTGTTTGCTGCGTAAGCTCGGGGAAGGGCGGGGTGCCAAGGAGGCCACCACCCTCCCCTCCCCGTTCCCCTTCATCTCCACCCCATTATCAGCGTCATGGTGAAACAAGTGTGTCTAGGCACGTCCTAAAGATTGGCAGCTTTATTGGGCTAGGTTTCAACCTCCTTGGGTTCCTGACCCAGGGTCAGCAGCTGCAACCATCTACAGGCCCTGGACCTCTTGCATGCAACCCATTTTCACTGCCAAAATGACTGGCCTATACCAAACAACATCAAGGCCATTCTGAGAAATCCCCATAGTCAACAGGTTAACCCTCTCCTGCCAACCTGGGTCTTGCCTCCCGCTTCTCCCTCGGCTCCCCCAGCCCCCACAGGCCTTAAGGGACTGAACTACTGTAGTGTTTCCCCAAGTTCACAAAATGACTTCAACCTTACCAAAGTGCCCAGCCTAGAGACAGCATTGGGGTGCCCCCTCTCAGAAATGGGGTTGACTCCAGAGAACACAGAACCTCTTTCTTGCTTCCCCCAGTTGTCTGCCTCCCAGAACCTCATTCGGGGTCTACTGTGGGACTAGATCATCCTCGGGAGCTTCCCGCAGGTGCAGCGAAAGCTGTCAGCTTGGATCTAGACAAGAGCATGTGGCTTCTTGGAAGACTTCCTGGAACAGGCTCCCAGGGCCTCCAGCTCAGTGTCTGATTACTCCCCACCAGCCTCATCACACGAGGAACACTCATGCATAGTGGTTACGCCTCGGGCTATTGACTGCAAGATCAGCAGTTCAAAACCACCATCCGCTCTGTGGGAGAAAGAGGAGGCTTTCTACTCCTGTAAAGAATAACAGTTTTATGAACTCACAGGGGCAGTTCTACCCTGTCCTGCAAGGTCACCAAGAGTTGGCATCGACTCGGTGGCAGTGAGTGAGAGCCTCATCATGTCACGGCACCAGCTTTCTGTAGATCAAGTGCAACCTTTCCTTGGGAGCAGCAGGGAGGCCCCAAGTCTCCACCATGAGCCCCTGCCTCACATCCAGTAGGAAACTGAAAGCGTAATAAAGAATATGGATAGAAGACAAGGTGAGGCCCTGGCGCTGTGCAAATGGTTCATGTGCTCAGCCGTTATCAAAAGGTAGGCAGTTCAAGTCTACCTAGAGATTGGTCAGAAGAAAGGCCTGGTAATCTATTTCCCAAATGCCATCAATCAAAAACCCAACACAGGACAGTTCTTCTCTGACACACTTGGGGTTGACTTGACAACTGGGGTTACACTAGCACAGAGCCCACAGGTTCACAAACCATGCTTATGCCCATAGTCCTATTGGACCCTCGTAGCCAAGGGAGTGGGGATTGAGCCCGCATTTCCATGGCAGTCAGTGGTGGGTGTGGAGACAGGACCTAGGTCTCCGACCTCTCAGCTCTTCCCTCCGCCAAGGCTGTCCCATACCTTAGAACCAGAATGGAGGTGCAGTGGCTCCCCCATCGATACAAACCCCGCGGGAGTAGGCAATGGGGAAGAACAGGACAAGACCCCCTAGTCAGCCTTGCCCTGTTACCTTTCCTGGCCTAGGAAGAGGGTTCCAGCATTTTAGAAGCAAGGACAGATGTGGACCCAGGGCTGGGCAAGACCCAGGGGCATCAGAATTGAGTCAAAGTGTATAAATGTCATTGGGGGTCAGAGGCGTCTAACTATTCTCCTAGAGCTGGGTGGTTAGAGGCCCCTGTGCCTTTCTCTGCGTAGCATCATCTCTGGGCTTGCATGTGGAAAGTTAGTTCCAGGAAAGACCGGGAGATCATCTCTGTTTACAGGTGAGGCGGAGGCTGCCGCCCAGAGAGGGGAGGGAATTCCAACGGATCCCTCCAGGCAGAGCTGCGATTCCAGCCTGGGCTCCTGCCGTGGTGACAGCCAGCATCCATATGATGCCTGCTGGACGCTCCGAAGAGGCCCGAGGACATGGAGAGCCGAAATCAAGCTGCTGGCTCTCAAAGGTCATCTTCCCCCTGTGGCTCACTGGGAGGGGAACAACCAGTCTCTTCTTTTTACCCTGACCGTTTATATAGCTCCCCCCTTTTCCCCTCCTCTTCCCCTCCTCGCCCCCAGTGTATACATCATGTTCTCCCCCTCACCCACCCACCAGCCTGAGAAGGGTGGGGAGAAAAGGGGCCAGCGTTTGCTGGGTTTTACTAGGTCCCAGCTGTAGTGCACACAGATCCTGTACCACTAGACCATCTTCCTTCAGTCAGCAGGAGGCAGGCACCGCTCCATACACTCATCCACGTCGCCAAGCAGTCCTCCCTCAACAACAGCAGCAGCAGCAAAAACTCCAGGCTCCAAAAAGGTCCTCCTGATTGTTTAACTTCTCCCCTCTCTGGGTCAGGCTGGACTGCGCTGGGCTAGTTAGGTTAAGCTGGGACAGCCAACAAAGCAGGAGCCTGGCTTCTGCCTTCCTGTCACCAATAACCTTCCCGGACAGAGCCATCCTAAGCTCTCCTAGGTGTGGATCCCTCCACCGAACCTGCCATCTGTTATGTTCACAGGTCCCCTGAGCAGGGATGCAGCCACGCTGAACCTGCTCCACTCACCCAAGAAGCAGCTGAGAGGGGGGCTCAGGAGGGCAGCCAGGAGACCAGGAGCAGCTGTGACACCAAGAGTAGGGGCCATCACTCTGCCTCCCCACCCTGCCCAACTGGGGTCCCACTAACGCCAATCCTCAGCCCCCAGCTTTCACACCGGGTGCCTGAGGTGGCCAGAGAACCTCCGCTAGCCGTGAGGACAGCGCCAAATTCCAGGGAGTCTGCCCTAGAAGAGGCCCAGCTCGGTGCCGGTCTCCCCGCCGGCTGGCTCTGGGTCTTGGGGCGTCTCTTCAGGCTCGGGTCTCCCACTGAGGCTGAGGCTGAGGTTGAGGGTGGGCGGGCAGCTGGAGCGGCTGAGCAGGGTGGTGCGGCGGCTTGAGAGGCTACTGTTGGAGAGCTGCCTGCTCATCTGGGGCCCAGGACGCCCCCAGCAGGCCAGGGGGCGCGGCAGCAGGTGGCTGTTGAAGCCCATGTAGATCCAGGGGTTGCAGCAGCTGCTGAGGTTCCCCAGGAGCATGGAGATGGTGAACGCCACGTTGGTTGAATCTGGAGAGAGAGAGAGAGAGAGAGAGAGAAACATGGGGGAACCTTAGAATCACAGAGCCAGAAGGGGAACCGAGCCCACACTCCCCTGAACAAACAAGGAGATCTAGTCCCAGAGAGGAAGGGCTCTCTTGGGGGTCCTATCATTACAGTACAGTGTACCGTGGCTGGGATTTGAACCTGAGACACCAGATTCTAAAGTCAACTCACGGATTGCTTTCTTCTTCTTTGTAGCTATAGGATTGCGGGGCGGGGGTGGGGGTGGGGGTGGGGCGGGATACATGAAGTTTGCTCCAAGTTGAAGTTGGAGAGGGATCACAGTCAGGGATGGGACTAGCTCAAACAGGAGAAATGGTCTTTGTTCCCAAACTTCGCCCTCGGATCCTTAGAAGTATAGACTTAGGATGAGCCTGTATCTCCCGTGATTCTAGGCCATGGAATCAAATCCAGACCCCTTTCATCCCAGCCCCACAGTGTAGTGGTTATACGCTGGGCTGCTACTGCAAGGTCGGCAGTTCAAAACCACCAGCTGCTCCAAATGGAGAAAGATGGGGCTTTCTACTCCCATAAAGAATTTTAACCACAGCCTTCAGGGGAAGTTCTACCCTGTCCTATAGGGACTATGAGTGGACATCGACTCAAAGGTAGTGAGAACTATGTCATAGGTCACAGATGCATATTATCTTTGGGGTTTGTCTTTAAACCCTCAGGGACAGTCCTTAAACTCACTCCGTTGGTCATTTAGTCATTTGACCCTGTAAGTCCCAACTCTGTGCAAGGCCCTGGGCTAGGGGCTTGGTGGGTCCGTGGAGTCAGTGGAGAGGGAGTGACCGCCAGGGCCCCAGGACTTCATCTCTAGCTAGAGCCGAAGAGCAGCTTCCAAGTCTGGGGCATCCGTGCCTCTTGTTCTAGTTCGGCACTTCCTTTGTGCCCTGGAGTGTCTGCGCCCGGGAATGCCTCTTCGTGCAGGGAAAAACCAAGTTCTCCCTTGGGCCAGCAGAATGTGAGTGTGCAGAGACTGGTAAGATTCCTCCTCAGGCAGAAATGCCCTACTGAGGACTAAACCAAAGGGCTCCTGGGAACAGTCAAGCTCCCAGAATGGAGCCTGGTCTTCCTCGAGCTGCACCATGATCGCAGAGTCACCTTGCTTGTCAGAAGAGGTTGTAGGATCACTCGGTGCCGTGTGTGTCAGGGCTGGGCAGAATCTCAGGGGTGAACGGTCCAATTTTGTTTACCAGGCAGTTCATAAGAACCAGCACTGAGCCCCGGTCTTCCAGTATGAAGACAAAGATCCTGCACCCACCATCGTTTGCATCCAACCAGTAAAGGCAGAGTCCAAGCGCCCACTCTGTAAAGTAGTGGGGGTGCTTCGGATTCACGACTTACTGGTGCACACGGCCCCCCGAGATCAGCTGAGGGAAGGGAAGGCATGGGGCGCACACACTGACTAGAAGGTACCTGCCCTGGCTGGGCAGTCTGGGGCTCAGAAGAGAAGGTGAGGGAGGAGCCCCTATCGTGAAGGAGGGGTCAGCCCCAAAGTTGAAGCTTGGCTGAGGTCCTGCCTTGCTTCTCTGTTAACACAGTGAGTAGATCTCTGGAGAGCAGATCCCTCAGGCTCAGGCTCAGGGAGCCAGTGCTGTCACTCAGCTCGCCGGCTGTTCCAGGTTAGGGGTAGAGACAGGCAGGCTCTGACCGCAGCCTTGGGGAGAATTGTGCATCCTGGGAAATTAACTTCAAGGGATGAATCACAGCGCAGTCAAAAAGGTTCCAAGAGATTCGCATGTTCCTAAATGCGCCCACTGCCTGTGAGATAACGCCTTGTTCTTGCACACCTGGCTGTGAGGTCCTTGGTCAGCAGTAAATCAGGCCGCACCCGTGAGGGCTTAAGGGCTAAAGGCCAGCATCCTGATGATGGTGGCCACTGCCCGCAAGCAGTCCCCAACTTCTCTGAGGTGCCTGAGTTGGACCAGTGCTTCCAAAAGTGGGCGATGCCGCCCCCTGGTGGGGCATTGGGGCAATCAAGGGCACAGTCACTGCCATCCCATCCACATGGACAAGACAGAACTGTCACTGTGAGGTTGCCGGACGGTGACTCTTCACAGGAGTAGAAAGCCCTACCATTCTCCCAAGGAGTGGCTGGTGGTTTTGAACAGTCAACGTTGTGGTTAGCAGCCTAACGGCAAAAGCAGATACCTACTTTGCTGTATTGTGGGTGATAGTACAAACGGTTGTCATTGCCAGGGGTGCAGAGTTAGTTTTGTTTTGTTTTTATGGAAGGGTGGCAGTAGGCCAAATAAGTTAGGGAACGTGTGGCCTGAACAGTAGCCACCTCACTCTTAGTACCATCAGCTAAGCCTGTGATAAGCATGTCCTGAATGAAGCGTGATCCAGAGGCCTGGCTTTGTCACATACTACATGTCACTTTGGACCAGTTTCTTCACCCCGGTTCCTCCTATGTAAAACAGAGAAGGCCACTGCGAATTAGCATGAAGACTGAATGTGGTCAGACTAGGAAGCCCCGTGGTCCTTCTGTCCCGGGCTTGGCCAGAACAGGGAGGTCCCTGTAGTTGAGTAGAATTCATATGTTCACTGCAAAACCTCCAGACTGAGGTTACACGTTAAAATAATAACCATCACAAACCATCTCTTAAGTGGTTGCGACCATGCAATGGGCTAGGGCCCTTCAGTATTACTGTTTTTTGCTTCTTTGGCAGAATTGTATAAAATTCATGAGCAGCCTTCCCCTAATTTTGCCTGTCCAGAGAAGCAAAGCATTTGTCTCGAGCATATCCTCTCATTCAACTCACTGCCATCACATTAATCCAACTCATAGATCCTGTGAGACGGGGTAAAACTGCCCCTGTGGGTTTCTGAGACTGAAACTCTTCAAAGAAGCAGAAAGCTTCATTTTTCTCCCAAGGAGCAGCTGGTGGTTTCAAACTGCTGACCTTGTGGTTAGAAGCCCAATGCATAACCACTCTGCTACCAGGAGAAAACTCAAAAGCCAAATCAACTCACTGCCACTGAATCGATTGTGACTTATAACGACATTATAGGACAGGGTAGAACTGCCCCCGTGGGTTTCTGAGACTAACTCTTTACAGGAGTAGAAAGCCTGGTTTTTCCTCCATGGGGCAGCTTGCCGTTTCGAACTGCAGACCTGTAGGTAACCCATGACACCACCAGGGCTCCTGGTGCAAGAGAAAAGGCGAGGCTAATTCTGGACATATATCCTGGGGTGAGCAAAACAAGATTTAGGAAGGAACTCAGAAAGGCAGGGGACCACACTGAAAGAGCTGGCAGGAGTCCTTAGCCTGGGCCAGCTGGACAAGGAACACTTGGAAGATTCTGGAGGAGCCATGCCTTGGGCCTCCCGAGGGCAGGGTCACATCTTATCCGTCCAGCGTCCTGAGCTGTGCACCTACGGAGAGTACTGCAGCACACACACACACACACACGCAGCCACACAGACAGGTGGACCTGCAGTTGTCCCCACCCTCCTCTGCTGCTTAGGGCTACCAGAACAGGCCACACACCCTGACGTGGCCTGACTCCCTGAGAACACGCTCCGCTCCCCGCTGGTGGCCAGGCCACCAGGCAGTGTGACTACTGTTCAGGAGGCTGCCACCCACCTCACTCCAGAAAAGGGACCCGAGCATGCCCTCCCACAAGCCATTGGGAACCCAGTCCTCTTGAAGGGTCCTGTTTTGCTCTCACCTACGAGGGAGGACTTTCTTCAGGATAAGTCCAGAGGCCAGTGAAGGGGCGGGGGTGGAGGGAAGTAGAGGGATGAGTCCTGAGAAGATCTGGCTTCTATGCTTCGAGTTCCCATACCCTGGTGGCGTCGTGGTTATATGTTAGGCTGCTAACCTCAGAGTCAGCAGTTCAAAACCACCAGCCACTCCAATGGAAAAAGATGAGGCTGTCTACTCTTATAAAGAGTTAGTCTTAGAAACCCACAGGGACAGATCTACACTGTCCTATAGGATCACCATGAGGTTGATGTGTGTGTGTGTGTGTGTGTGTGTGTGTGTGTGTGTGTGTGGCTGGGCAAGTCACGTTTCTTCTCTGAGCTTCTGTTTCCTCACTAGCAAAACGAGGGTGTTTGTTATGGATTGAATGGCTTCCCTCACACCCCAGAAATATGTGTTGGAACCCTAAGCCCCAAATCTGTTGGCTGTCATCTCAGTGGGAGCGAACTTTCCATAACATCTTTGTTATGTTCACAAGCCCAGATCCGTGTTAGGGTGTCTCCGAACCCTACGCACAGCTGAGAAATTCAGAGAGCAATTTAGACCTAGAAGAAACCAGCAGAAAGGAGGGATAGAGAGACGCCAAAAGATTATCTACAAGAAATGCCAAGGCTGCAGAAGCTCAGACCAAAATCTTCCCCCGGAGTGAACAGAGAGAGAATCTGCCCCTTGGAACCGGTGCCCTGAATTGGGGCTTCTAGCCTCCTGGAGACCGTGAGGAAACCACTTTCTGCTCTTTAAAACCACCTGCTGGTGGTGATTCTAACAGCAGCACGAGGAAACCAAGACAGGGTTGACTGAGAAAGTGCAGGTTGTTGTTGGAAGTCGCTCTGGAGGAGGTCAATGTCACGTCTCGGTGTGAGAGGAC